CTTTAGCATGTGGTGGACATTTAGAATTGAGGGTTATCATTGTTTCTTTTTGGGTTTGAACGAAGTAAAGGGTAGTTCAGGGCTTTATGTAAAGAGGATTAGGTTAAGCACATATAACAGGGCTGCATAAAATGAATACATTTTTTGTGGTTTTATTGTTACATATCATGGTTGTAACATCTTTCAGTTATAAATTTATATGATTAAAAAATATTTTTTAAAAATGTTTTGGATTATGTGAATTTTGGTCACATCACACAGTAATAGTGTTGTGATTGGTTAGAGGGTTTATTTGGATGTTGCAGCCTTCTGCAACCCTAACATATATGTTCTTTTAGGGTGTTCTGTGAAGGGAGTTTCTGAGGGTGTCGTCACTGTATTTGTACTGATGTGTGGTGTCACCCTCTAGGGGACTCCAGAAGTACTGCAGCTGTTTCTTGGCAAACGTAGCAGCCTTTCACGTGGAAGTATTGCTTTTGCACCTAGATGCAATGAAAAAATGTTTGTGCACTGGTGATACAAATTAACATGTGATTCATTCTTCATCCTTCTCTGGTAGGCTCGATTTGTGATCCATTAGATAATGCATTGCAAATCTCTTTTTGACTACATTTGTCATTTTGGTCTCTTCCTTTGAATAATGGAACATGCAGTGAATTAGGAGAAGTTTAGTAAGTTGATAAATTAGAAATGCAGAGGTTAATTACTAAAGAAAGGTCTCGCCAGAGGGACTGTGGATGTCTTTGAGCTGGCCTCATTCATTAGAATAGGAGCATAGACAGTCGAGTCCCTAAAGGCGTTTGACCTCTTATGGTCATTCTCTATACTCATTATCAACAAGATCTCAAACTAGAAATTAGTTTGGTTTTTTTTATCATCCGTAGCAGCAGGATAATTCTCTCCAGGCTAAATGACAATAGCTAGGCATAAATCTGGGAGTTTTCTTTGCATATCAGAGCTAAAACAGCTCAATATCAAAAGTTAAATCAATTATCTAAATTAAGAAATTGTATTTTTTTAATCATTTGTTTATTGTATATTTAACAGACAGTCATACTGTATTGGTATGATATTTCCTACAGAGGCCAACGCAAAGGGCAGGCAGAGGAGCTGCTAGACTGTTAAGTGTGCTGTCCTGTCTCCAGGCTGCTGGCCATTGATTTGCAGCCATAATGCTCAGCGAGCTGCAAAGTGCATGTGTTAGAGGTGCTGAATGGTCATTCGATTAAACTCTAAATTCTCTTTTAAATTTTTTTGGCTGGCTAAAGGATACAGAAATCTATAAAGGGAATAGGATTTGCATTGATTGATGTGGGGTTTGTGCTGGGAGGAGTTTTATCTGGAAGAAGAGAGGGTGTTTTCTTCTCACAGAGTGTTGGGCTAAGCCACTTAATTGGGTGTGGGGAAAGGGGAAGTCAGACTGTCAGTTTTCACACTAGCTCTCGGTCTCCCTCTCACGTACAACACGTACACACACACAAACACACACACACAGACATGCACACCTATATTGGGCTGTCACAATGAGAGTGAGTTCAGCAAAAGAAGAATATCAGTTAAAAAGGGATGAATAAGCTTTATGCTGTATTGATATTTGGGTGACAGGAGCCAATCAAAAGTAAATAATTATTATGAATAATTATGCACGACCATTAATAACATCAATAACTAAATGTGACTATTAGGAATAATGATGCTTGTCATTTACCAAAGGTTTCCCATTTTTGCTTTTCACTCTACATAATTAAAGTCAATCACTCAAAAAAAGTAATTGATTAAAATGTATCTTCTTGATGAATCTGCAATGGTTAGATGACAGTTTGCACAATGATAATGCATATTTTAAATTTAAAATTTTAAAAGTAGGAGACTGGTCTGGTGGACACACTGGGCTGATGGACACATCCATTTGTAATCAAGTTTTGCCACATTTTAAAAAAATATTTTTTTCCAGAAAAGGATTTTGGAATCTTTAAAAGGCTGTTTATAGTTTGTTCAGTTTTTATTGTCTGAGATGTGATGCACCTTATGGGCCTGACTTCTGGGTATTGTCCAAAATCGAGTACCAATCTGATATCAGTCCTATCTTTTCTTCTTTACTTTAAAATCTATATACTTAGTATAATGTGCTGTTGAAGGGTTCATTCCAAAACACAATATATGTATTTTATGAATTTTTGATAATTAGGATTTTTAAAATGAGGCACATTAGACAAGTATTTCATATTTGATTGTTTTTTTTTTACATTTATTTTTAAAACCACAAAGACAAATAATCACTGTATCTCCAGATCACAGAATCACTGTACTGTAATTAACACCTTACTATCTCAAAATCACCCAATAATCTGACATGTTTACTTTTTCAGCCTACAATAAATATCTAAAAATGTAAAAGTCTAAAATAGATATTCACTGATGAAGCTGGTGTGAAGCGCAAGAGAATTAGGAAAGCTTTTCTGCACTGAGCTTTTATTCTGACATGCTATGTCATGCTTTGTTTAGACAAATGAGGTTGCCTTTAATGTCATTTCATGTTAATTAATAGTTATTACCTGTATGTAGAACAGCCAAGTCTATTAATAAAAACAAAAGGTGAGTGGATTTATTAAGGTCCGTATCGGTGCCAATACCATTCTAGTATATCTGATTGCAGTTACTTGTAACTCACTCACTCACATTTAGCAGGCTGAAGATTCTCCACAAGAGGGTGCTAATAGCACACAGATAGCTTTTAGTACTTCTTAGGGGCAGTGTTTCACATCAGTGATACTGTGTGTTCCTTTTAAAACTCTGATTACTCCAGTGAGGTCCCTTCAGGGCCATCCTTTAGAGAAGACCTTTTTTATTTAATGTATTCATCAAGCTTGTTGCATTTAAACTTTGCAGATATTGTAGTAATTGATTATTGCATTGTTAAGTTTTCATTTGGAAACAAATGGGTTAAACTGAAATTGCCAAAGGAAAATTATCCAATTAGGATTTCTCAGTGGTGTCTAGGTAGATACAGCCAGTCTAGTTCTCACATTGGTACTTCAGGATCTGAAATGAAGGCCTAAAGTGACAGATTAACCACTAATGTATTTAGGAAGTGACAGTAAATCCAACTAATCACATTTTGATTTCCAGTGGGCCTTCTGGAAGTCCTAGGTATGTCACTGACTGTGAATATGAGTGTTAGCTTAACCAGTACATTTTAGTCAGTAGCAACTCTATTCCAGGGCTTTTTACTGTACTACAAGGTAAAATAGATGTCAATATGTCTGTTACAATCTTCAAATAAAACATAAAATGTTTTAAATGTAGAACAGCCAAAGAAATGTTAATATGAATCATTGTTAGCAAAATACTAATAAAATCCCTTAGGGGCGCTATCAGAAATTTAGCACTATCATAGAGATGTTTTTTTCTCTCATTTTAACAGAGTTTTGACATTTATGGCCCAAACTGCCTAGCTCTAATAGTCACTGTTTGCCAGAGGATTACTCGATTAATGGTCAAAATTAATGATTGATTATCTTATTGCTAATATAATCAGTAGTGACCGTCCTATTCTTTAACACAACTCTAACCAGGTTTAATAGACTTCACTGTTGTCCGTTTCAGTCTCATCCTCACCGAGCAGGTGCTGAGAGGAGGTTTCTCCCTGCAGTAGAGTAGTGTGAGTGTTTGAGGGCTATAATAAGAGTTGGTTCTGACCTGCTTCTTTCTTCCCTGGAAGCTCTTTCTGTCAGTAAGATAAGAACGCAGCTGTAGGAGGAGGGAGCAGCCCTGTGTGCGTGTGCTGTGTGTGTGTGTGTGTGTGTGTGTGTGTGTGTGTGTGTATACATATATGTGTGTGTATTGCGGGGTCTGGAGGTAGCTGTCACTTTCCATTAGAGGACTGGTTTCCCGTGTTGCACTGCTGATCTTCCTCCCTCCTCTTCTCCATTTTTTTCATCATCCTCACTAGAACCCATGACCCCTCTCTGTGTTCTTCACTACATTGTAAGAGTGAATAATTCTTGACTGATACAGTATATATTTATGTGTGTATCCTTCACAGTCTTATGTCACCACTAAATGTTTAACGTGCAGGCTTTAATGTACAGCATGATGAAGCCGGCCCATTAGTGCTGCAAACTGGTTAGTGTTTCTCCCTGTCAAGTGTGATATGAAGCAGAACTATGTTATTTTGTAGAGTTTGATTGGATCTGTAAGTGTTTCACAGTGCGCGGAATGGCAGCCTGTGTAATTGGGATGAGATTGAAAGCCTGTATGGGAGTTGGCAGTGCTTACTCAGTTATTTCAAAGATTGTCTGGAGGACACAGGGCTAGGTTAGTTAGACATGATCTCTCATTCAGTGCCTCTGAATGGTCTGCTTCATCAAAGTGATGCATTAACATATCAGTTGTTCAAGATACAAAAAGTATTTTTCTAAGATACAGAATATGCTGTGTAGGCATATCCAAGAACCAGTTTGTTGGTCCATGAGGATCAAGGTGTAGCTTTGTTTATTTTTTTTCTTCTACTGTGGTGGAATATCTAGTAAACTAGGAGGACCTAGGGTTGAATCTTTATATTCATCTATATGAATATAATCTATATATAAATCGCAAGAGCTGCAAACAAACTATAGCATATATTGACAATAACATTGCCTTAACAGGTTTAAGGTGAGGACGTAACAACTAATTACGCAGAGTTTCTGAACTGCCTACAGATGACTTAGACTAATCAGAAGCAACCAAATGCACATGTGCTGTATACATGACAACACAACCTCCACTAACTGGCAGTCTGGCACACCATGTTCAGCACACACGCAGACTGTATAATAGTAGGTGAGAACAGGGACTTAGACCCTCTTTTTTCATGTTTTAGGCTGCTGTTAGTGTGACTCTCACTGTAATATTGATTTAAGCTAGGTATTGATGTATCCATGTATGCACAGTTCTCCCTGTGACTCTCATCAGTTATATTCTGTGTGCTTTCTGTATGTCTTTGTGTGTTTGTAAAGGTAAAAACTGGGACCTTAGCGCTGCTCTGAGTGACTATGAGCAGTTGCGACAGGTCCATACTGCCAATCTGCCCCAGGTGTTTAACGAGGGCCGTTACTACAAGCAGCCAGAGCGCAGCGGCACCCCCCAGCACATCAACAAGCTGGAGCCATGCCTGCAGAGACAAGAGGAGAACACTCAGGGTACGGCAAAGAGCTACACTGCTGCTTTCCATGAGCCATGCTAATACTAATAATGATGATGACTGGATTGATAATAGTAATGATGACAAGGATTGGGATGTCGACTCTGATGATCATTCTTATGCCACTGATGATTAAAACAAAGATGAGGAAGATGATTATGATTCTGAAGATTTAGTTAATGCTACCAATAAAAGCTGCTGTGGAGATGATTGATGCCTATTAAAAGTAATGATGATTGGATTGTTTTGAAATGCTTCAGAAATTCTCTGCGAGTTAAACGTCTCATAACCAGGCAACAAACACATCCCTCTGTGTTTTGCTTTGGGTCTACAGAGAAACGTCTCTCTCGAGGTATCTCCCATGCCAGCTCTGCCATCATGTCTCTGGCACGAATGCACGTGACAGGCGAGTGTGCCAGGGAGCAGTTCCCTCTGGAGATGCCCATCTACACCTTCCAGCTGCCTGACCTGAGCGTGTACAGTGAGGACTTCCGCAGCTTTATCGAGCGTGACCTTATCGAGCAGTCCACCATGGTGGCCCTGGAGCAGGCTGGTGAGAGCACATCTGATGCTAAACCCACACCTTAGGCTACACTGCAGTCCTGGTAGATATGGTGGTATGATTAGTGTTTTCAACCCTTTAAAAGTGCTTTAATTCACATAATGCAAGCTATGCATGACAATTATATATTAATTATCTGTGAAATGTCTGAAAATAATATTTTTATACATTAGCCTATATAGAACAAAATACAGTACATAAAAATAACTAGCTCCTAACTAAAAAGTCTTAATTTATACATGACTATTTCAAAACCTCTCCTCAAGGACGTGGGAAGTGGAGGTTTTGAGGGTGCTGAGGCACCCCCTGATTTCAGGATTGCAACTGTTAAAATTAATAATATCAATAAAACTTTATAATAACTTGTTTTATATTTTCTAAATCTGCAGTAGCTGCGCGGTTTAAGTGAATTTTGTATTTTCATTACAGTGAGCCGAAAACATCTGGCCACTTTGGGGGTGCATCCTCAAACACATGCAGGCAGAGCTTCAAAGAGAGAAAATCTGTGTAGAGATGGAGGCCGGTTCTGAACCCCAAGATGGCCTAACATTGTTTTTTACACTTTTAAAAGTCATCTAACTTAATAATGAAGCTTTTTCAACTGTTGTGCTCTGTTTGCATTTCAGTTTAAATCTCAGTTTGTGTCTGTGGATGTTTACTGTGCTACATATCAACATCTGATTGGATGAGCTCATTTGCATAAAGTTCATCCAGAACTAGAGTGATGATGTGCATCAGTGGTTTGATGTGTCAGTTATAGGTCTTTATCTTTCTCTCTCACCTCAAAATAGCAGTGTATGACATGCTGAGTTTCATAGAAATTAGCCAAAAGAAGAATAAAATGAAAAGTGGCAAGTCATATTGCATGATGTCATTGGTCCCTTCACACAACTTAAAATTTCAGCACTCCTAACTTAAAGCACCTTCCCACGTCCCTGCCTCTCTTTACTCCTCAGAATTAAACACACTGTTTTTGTTACTGTGCCTTTAAGACTGATATATGTGAACTACATCTGTTCTGATCGGCTGACCTGTATTGTGTCTTGTTCTTTAAGCAGTCCAGGCTGAAACACTCCTTATAACTTCAGCATTAATGGGCTGGGCTAAACTGGTGAAGGCTGAATAGATGGATTATGTAAATGTGTTGGTCTGTGCGAGGAAAATGCTGTTTTCCATGGGCCATAAACTCTGCTTCCTAACCCCTATGATTAGCACATGCAGTATTCAGTCTGTTTAATGTGAACAAGTTGAACAGCACCAGTGGGATCTTGCTAGTGTCCGCCCTCAGCACCAGCGAAAGAGGCTGTGATAATATCAGGAAAAATGAACGCCCCCATGCCCAGGCTTTTGTTGATGGTTGTTGTAAGACTCTTTCACTTTTGAAGAGTCATGAAAGCGAGTCTATGAGGCCTATGAGCACTCGTAAATGGCCTGGCCAAATGCTAAGATGTTTTTTGGATCAGCAGCAGAGAGAGGTTAAAGTACCACATAAGATAAAAGCATACAGAGTCATACAGAACTGCACTGCTACATACGGAATTCTGTAGCCAGAGCTGACATGGAGCCCTATCCAATTATGTTTGTGATTAAGATATTATCTAACATCTGCCTTTGTCTCAGAGAGATTAAAATCCCACTCAGTCACGTCTCCCAGAGGAGAGCGGAGCTCAGTGCATGAATCACAGCACTCTACTAAAGCTCTGATTCAGATGATTATATGCTAGAGAGGAAATGCAGCATTTCTTGGAAAATTCATGTAAAAAACAAGAAAGTAATTGGAGATTTTGGATGAAGCTTTTAGTAAATGATTCCCTTGATGCACTGTATTAAATCACCTTCCAGACCTTTTCATTCTTTTGTAAACAACTTGCTAGCCACACTATTGTTCAAAAGTTTGGAATCACTTATCTTTAATAACATATACCAGATATACTTTTAGATTTTTTTTTCAGGATTTTGAGAATAGGAATTTATAAATTGATAAATAATATACGATTTATTTTTACCATTCAGTATACCACATAACTATTTTTTTGGTCAGCTTACCTACCTTTATTGTTGATTTGAAATACAAGCCATTCTAGATATTAATTTTATTTAACTTCTTGTTTTTTTATAATCAGTTCTACAGTTCATTCTAGATGCATAATTGTTCTTACTAATTATTAACGTCTACAAATGATTTGAAACCTGTAAAGTTTCATAGTACTGACACCAATATTATAATTTTGCAGCCACATTTGGCTGTGTATCATTGAAAACACTGATTCCAGACATTTGAATGATAATGTGTGTATAGCTTCTTGAGCTGAGTGAGTGAGCTAGGTGGTCAGATGGGCCCAGGGTTCTGGCAAAGCGACTGACCTGTGGACTGTAGACCAGGGGCTGTAGAAGGGAGGCTGGGCCCCTGGGGCAGGCTGGGCACACAGTGCTCTGGGGGTGGACGCACTAAACTTGGCTCTGGTGCTCAGTTCTAGACAGGGGAGTGGGCGAGAGGTCAGCGGCTTGGTATACACAGCCTCCGGGCAGGTGCTGCTGCTGCTGCTCCTGGCAAAGGCAGCCCAGTCTTCTGCTTTGTGGCAGGAAGAAGCTGCAGAGCAAGCTTTATTTGTTCAGTAGCCCATAGCTAGAGCACACTGTTCCAGCACGTCATCTGTGGTTAAGTAGGATTTTGCAATAGGTCAGATTTATTTTAATATTCATGCATGATAGCAGAATCTGCACTTGAATTTAAAGGAGATCACTGTTTCCTGTAAATGTATGAAGCATAGAGTGCTGTAATGCTGAATGTTTGTTGATCTTTTCCTCTAGGGCGTCTAAACTGGTGGTCCACCATGTGTACCAGCTGTAAAAAGCTCCTGCCATTAGCAACAACTGGTGACGGCAACTGCCTGCTGCATGCTGCTTCCTTAGGTACGCTTGAACTTAATCTTACCTAATGTGTTGCTGGATTTTTAACTCATTACTTTGTTTTCTGGGTTCTGCTATATTTTCTATCACTGTTTAAAAGAAGCATCATACTGCCTTTATTGCTGGATGCTTTTTGACAGTTTGTGAGCGAGTGTGCACACATTCTTAACACATTTCACATCACCAACAGCTTATTATTTGTATTTGTTTCATCAGTACAATGATAAAATCAACTGAAGCATGAATTCTTTTTTTTTGTTAATGTGTTTTCTTGCTTGAGTGGTAGTTTATGGCACAAATTCACTAAAAATCTATAAGCCTTGTTAGATCATATTCTACTCTGAGAAATCATGTTAGTTTTAAAACAGAGTAGAATAAAAGGCATTACAGTTACTGAATTACTGTTTTTTTGCCTAAAAACTGTCTATGAAGAACCTAGTGTTCATGGCTAGAACTTACATCCAGACAGTTTAAATAAACATCTTAAAGCTGCATGTAGTTCATTGATGTAAGGACACCTGTGTTTCTATGTGTTTGTCAGGAATGTGGGGCTTCCATGACAGAGACCTGGTGCTGAGGAAGAGTCTGTATGCCATGATGAAGAGTGGAGCTGAGAGAGAGGCCTTGAAGAGGAGGTGGAGATGGCAACAGACGCAACAAAACAAAGAGGTCTGACTCTCCAAAGCTAACCTTTCTCCTTCAGGATACATCACTAAAAAATATGCATGCTCAGTCAACAAATTCAAATTTGATTGCAGGTCAACACAGGAAATGCTTTTTACTTGGCCTCTAACTACAAATGTTGGCTTTTCTTCACACTGTGCTACCGTTATCATCATATCTGGTTCTTGCAATAAGCACTTATTCCTCTATATTACACTTGTCATACTTGCACAATAATTGCACAATCCAGCTGCTAAACTGCTACAATTGTATCCTTTATTCTCCGAAGACAAAAAAGCAAATGTACTCTAAATGTCCAGGCAGCCCTTCTAATTAGTAAATACAGCCCCTTTGGGCTGCACTCATTGCTGACACAGGAATGCATACAGGAGAGCAATCTCTAGATAAAAGCATTGACAATAAAATGGGATGCTCTGGAGCAGCTCCAAATGAGCCTAAGGGTGCCGTGCCCAATGCAAGGTTCCAGCTAAAGGGGTATAAAGCCCCTCAGTGTTGGGTTGTGGAGCAGTAGAACTGCATTCTCTGGAGTAATGGAGCTCCATGCAGTACCTTTGGAATGCGTGGGTGGGATCCTGTACTGATCATCCGATATCAGTACCTGACCTCACTGGTGCTCTTGTGGCTGAATGCGATCAAATCCTTACAGCAGTGTTCCAATATCTGTTGTAAAGCCCTCCTAGAAGAGTAGACATTGTTACTGCAAATTATATTTAAAAAGCTGTTTATCTGGGTAATAAAGCACTGATATTAGAATAAATACAAATAAAATAGAATAACACAATAATTAGGGATTTAATATGTGTCAGACTAAGCATTCCTAACCTCTCTCTCCATTACCTAATTTGACTAATCAGTACTTCTTTATGTTAAATCAGGTGTGCTGCTAAGGGAATTTGACAAATCCATGCAATATCAGGGGATCTGTAGTGCTTTGTGACCAAACACCCAGACAAAAACCTGATAATGTAATAGTATATAGTGAATAAATATGATCGTAAAACAGCCTTTATTGCAACAGAAGCTGAAAGCTTGCATAAAAGCATGTTCTTGTGTTTTGAGCCTCACATGTTTCTGCAGTCCTTGCATGTTTGCCATTTGTGGAAACGATAATGTGATGTCAAATGTGTGGGTGTGCTTTGTGGTTTGCCTGATCCATGGTGTAGTGTAAGTGTAGAGCTTTCAGTGTGTGGGAGGGGTTGGGGGGAGAAGGAGAGTGTGTGTGTTTCCTTTAGCACATTAGCATTTGTGCATGTTACCCCCCTTACTATCTCCCCTCTCTCTCTCTGCAGTCTGGGTTGGTGTACACAGAGGAAGAGTGGGAGAGAGAGTGGAACGAGTTACTGAAGTTGGCCTCCAGCGAGCCCCGCACACACTTAAGCAAGAATGGCAACACTAGTGGAGGGTAAAGCTCACCAGCCCACGCACACACACACACACACACATACACATATCCCATTACATCACACATACACTGAGATACATACACATGATGTATTTCATATATGGCATATATTATATACAAGTTTATCATATCAAAAGTAAATACGCTGAAAGACAGAATTGTTTTGTTGTAATGTATTTTATTCATATCCACATCTGAATGAAGTTAAATCAGTACTTTCAATACATTGCTTTTTTCTGTGTATACACACCTGCCATCTACATGTTTCTCTTTCTTGTTCACTACTACTCTGCAAACATGACACCTCTTCTACACTGCACCCGGCAAACATATTGCTGAATTACACTCACCTAGTATTCTCACATAGCTCACACAGATGCACGCTTATGTGCCAGCTCTCCTTCACGCTCCCACATATCGCATAAACACTCTCACATTTGTACTGTGCAGTGTGTTACAACCTGTGATTTGTTGTAGTAAAGAGATGCACAAATTGCCAGCTGATAAACTCAGTAAAAACAGTAAAAATGATGTTGCCCTCAAAGTCAAAAGTATTGGCACTAGTCTGCACTGGGTAACATATTGTGTATTATGTTTTGTGTAAGTGGACTGAGGCTGAGTGGACAGTGAAGCTACACTTTATCTCTATCATCTCTTAGAAGTTCAGAGATATTACTGTCAATTTGCTTCTCTATTAAAATGTAATTACATGAGTAATTACATTGTAGCTATGTAAGAAATGACATTTCAGTCTGGTTTACTTGTTGACATGTTTACATCAGGTACCCAAACTTTTTGTTTTGAGAGGCCAAAGTACGATGCGTTTGGTGGGCCAAGGACCAAAAAGATAAAATAATATACCAATAACTGACATCAATTGAGTTTTTTTAGATGTATATTGTAACATTATACTGTGTTACTAAAATAGATCAAAATTCAACTTGAAAAGGAAATAGGAATTTAATAAATTATGTTTAGTATAAAATTATGCTTGTTCTCTCATTGTGTGAGGGTGTGGTGTAACTTTTCTTTTGATATCAAAAATGACAAACACATGGTAAAAATGCAAAAGGATTTTTTTTTTTTTTTGCAAAGCTAGACTGTATACTTCAGTAATTTTTCATCATATTCAATTCATAGTTAAAGATCTCTTCTTCTAATTTGATCTTCTGGTGCGATATTGATTGAAAATTTAGAATCTCTGCTTGATTCAGTGAGCTCCAAGTGAAATATAATATCAAATTACAACACTTTTTTGTTATTGTCAACAATAACTGCAACTTCTTCTGGTTAAAATCTAATCTAACTTCAATTTGTGGTTTAGGAGAAAACACAGCACTAGTTTCAGTTACGCAGAGAACAGCAACATCTATCAGCACAGTCAGGCTGCAGTGCACTCCTAGATTGATGGTGATCTATGGGCTTCCCCAGCATGGCAGTCCACAATCTAATTCCCACCAGCACACACTATCTTACATTGCCATTAAAAGGCAGATGAAAGACGAAGTACCTCGACCTTTACATGCACATGGATTCATTAAACATCACTGTGGCCACTAAGACTTCATTAATACCAAGACTGCTTCACTCCTTCTGGTGCCTTTTGTTCTCTGTATATTAGAATAGTGCCTGGAGAATCAAACCCTGCATAACTAGGAGGCTGACAGTACCGGTATCTATGAATGAAATGTGCAGTTTGGAGTTAAACTGATTAGACACACTGCCACCTGGTGGCTGCATATGGAAATGGAAAATAACTCTAGTAAAGTATGCTTTGACTTGGAGCAGTTTAAAATATGGGTGCACTTTGGCGAGGAGGACATATTCCATACATGTTTGTTGAGAGTAGCTGTGTGAGTGGCAGAGCAATTTTTGAATGCAGAAGCAATTGAGAAGCAAAACTCATGTCAAATTCTTACTTTACTCATCTGGCAAAACATTGCAAAACTGACCTAAGTTCAGCCTAGAAAGGCAAAGCCAAGTTTACCTCAGGTCATGTTGTAGCACAATGGAAACTGTGTCGTGCTTGCGAGTACCTTGTGGTTTCTCTGTTGTTAGGTTGTGAAACCTACTCGCTCTGATGGAAAACAATGATATGCTCAGCTGTCATCTGTATTTTCTGTTTCACACAGCTCAAAGTAACGGAGAATGAAAGCAATAACTGCCAACTCTCAGTTGTGATGCCCAAGGCCAGCTCCTAATGTAGAAAGATCTCCGGACAATATTTGCATAGTAGCTGTAGATTTTCCTTTACGCTCTAAGCAAGTGCTGGGTAGTAAAAAAAAAAAAAAAATCATGATATTTTCCAACTATATAATGGTATCATAGTATCAGATATTTAAGTTAGCATTAGTCACATTAATGAACTCAGTTAGCATACACACAGTTAATAAGTAAGCATTAATAAGGTTAATGAAGTCATGCTTATTGAACTGTTTTGTTTTGTTTTCTTGGCTTAAAATTATACCAAAGGGTATAGTATTGTGAGCCTAAAACAGACAGTAGACACATTTCCAGAAAAGGAAACTTACTGTTCATTTAGTTTTATGTATTGTAAACTCAGGGCTTTTTTGATGTATTCTGAAATTAACCCATTTCATGGCCAGGGCCCACGGGCAGGTCCACTGGCAGTATTGCATACTTCTATAAGAGTAGCTGAGCCAGTTTGCATTGAAGTCCCTTTAGTTACTGAATAATAGGTCTTAAAAAGTTACATATAGAGAAAATCTTCTCCAGAGGTGTCTTTATTGATGCAGTATTTGTTGCCCACCCCTCTAATTTTAAGCTTTTAAGCTTAGTTCGATCTAAACGTGCTGTCAGTGGTGATAACGTTGCTTTTTTAAATGCTTTACTTTCTACATATTTACATAGTGTGATTTCCTTTTCCTTCTTTGCCGACTCATATTTCAACTGATTGGATGTTCATCAGAAATGTTACTCTTTCGCAAAAATGTGCACAAGGATTAATCACAGCCTGACTATTTAAACCTGGATTAACACAGAAAGTTGTGAACCACTGTTGTAAAATAAGTTAACCGCATCTGTGTTTGTTATGTTTTGTGAAGCTTTAACTTAGTCAGAAAGTCTTATCTAAGTTGAGTTTGTACTGTTAGACAGACCTCAGATCCACTTCAACACAACACAGCACAACACAAATGGCGTAATGTTATAGCATAAAGTTAACACCAGCAAAAACATACCTTTCTTTTCAATTTTTCGGTTCCAGATGCGTATGTTTTTATTGTTTTTAAGATGGAGATTAACCTGTTGCTTTTTTGCCCTCATTTGAGCATCTTGGACAGCATCATAGGGTCCTCCTAGCGGCCACTGGGCTCTAAGCAGCTGCTCATGCTTATTAGGTAGAGCCAGCACTGTTTGAACTGAATCTGAAGCACTCAGTAAATACATTGCCAGCATTGCTGTCAGGTCCTTGATAGAGTGAGTAAAGCACACAAAATAGAATTAAAAGCCAAAAACAACCCGTTTGGTAACAGGGATACTGGTATTTTTTAGGTATACTTTCATGGATATAAGACTCAGTATGCATTAAATATATTGATGGTATTATTGTCAGTAAACTCAGTTTAGGTTTTTGGTGTTGATGAAAATAAGACTTCTAGTTTCAGTAGGAAATCGGAATCAGTATCTTCTTCCCAGAAGACAGTGATACTCTTTTCTTATCATTGATCTAATCAGGTTTAGGTTTCACCATATGAGTCAGCTGGGGTTTGGCATCATAATTATTTCTCCTCTTGTAACTGTTCTTACTGAAAGATCAAAATGTCTCTGCCAAAACTCATTAAAACCAAAATCAGGTACATAATAAATGGCTGCACTGTTGTTATGTGTGTTGTGTGTTTTATTCCCACACTCCAGCTACATCATATCTACACGCATTATACCACATTTTCATTCCATAGTAGTTGCTAAATTATTTATAGTAAAACTAAGTAATAAGCCTAGGTTTAGAGGGTTTTAGCACAGTCAGGGAACAAGGTTACTCTGCACGGCCAAACGTTTCATGCAGCAAAATCGCTGAATCTCCCCTATGCTTCTCTTCCATCAGTCAGTCTAGGACAAGACTGCCTAAAGTGTGGCCCTAGAGCTATTGTTGGTCAGTGAGGACATTTGATTTGGCCCACCAGAAAGTTACCCACCACCTTGCCCAATGAGAGAACAAACATATTTCTATGCTATATAGAACTTAATATATTCTTAATTTCCTGTTACGATTGTATTGCTAAAGTAATATAAGCACTGCACTTTGGACTCCAGGGAAAAAAAGTGTGCTTACACCTGCTCTAGAAACATGTAAATGTTTAAAGAGGGTATGTTTAGAAGGTGTTTATGTGGTGATTATGTGAAGAGCTGTGATGTGCGATGATGATGATCAGGGCAGCGCTGAGTTGTGGCACTGAGGGTGAAGTGAGTATAAATTGAATGAGAAAGGGGATTTGTTTATTAAAAGGCTCTTCATTAAAGATTGTATGTGTGTGTGTGTGATGTGGGTGTCTGTGTGTGTGTGCGCTACATACAGAGAGAGACAGAGAGAGAGAGAGAGAGAGAGAGAAAAAATGAAAGAATGAAGACTTAATTGTGCTGAATTCCCATAACAGGGCAGCAGAGATCATGCTGAAACAAGCTATGTCTCCATTCTCTCTCTCTCTCTCTCTCTCTTTCTCTCTGTCATTATCTTACATGTAAGTTCAGCAGGTGTTGCAGCTGAGATTAGAACCCTTTCTTCTCTTTTATACGCTACACTTTGTTTTTGGTGTCAAAACTCCAGTGATAACAGCATATAAAGACATTCAGTCACCACTGGACAAATGAGGTGTATAAAATAGTGCTGTCTCAGTGGATGGGTGGTCTGCCCTCTTGTTTTCTTGTTGGATAAGGAACTGCTAACATAAGATAGCCGCATTTAATGTGTGACACCTTAAGGCGTCTACTGAAGCATGTATTGTTTTTTTTACTGGTGAGTTATAAGTGAGATACAAATGAGTCTATCTGAGTTTATTGTAAAACAAAGAGTAACAGAATATTTGTGTGTGTGTGTGTGTGTGTGTGTGTGTGCGTGCGTCTTGCAGTGTGGATAACTCAGAAGATCCGGTGTATGAGAGTCTGGAGGAGTTCCATGTGTTTGTGTTGGCACATGTGCTGAGGCGGCCCATTGTGGTTGTTGCAGACACCATGCTCCGAGACTCCGGTGGAGAAGGTACCAACAAACACACGCACACACCCACACACTAACAGACTGAACTACCCACTGACATATTGGGTGCTCACATATAGTGGGAAGCATACATCAATGCTTTGTGCTACATCAGTCTAAAATTCATTAGAATAATACTCAACAAAGTACAACACTGTGCAAAAGTCCGAGACCACCCTTCATCCATCTAATTTCCAATTTAAATTGGCCATTAAGTGCAAGTTATATGTTTTTCAGGAGATATTTCTGAAGAGATTAGGTATAGAAAAGGAAATAGACAAAAACAAGAGCATTTGTGAATCAAACGAATTTTTATGCTCCTACTCACAAATGTACTGTATTTTACAGTAACTTGAAATTGTGGTTGTGTGTTAAACTTTTGTGATATCTTGTGATATCTCCCTCGTTAAATTGCAGCATTTGCACCTATACCGTTTGGCGGACTCTACCTGCCCCTGGAGGTTCCCCCTAACCGCTGTCACTGCTCCCCGCTGGTGCTGGCCTATGACCAAGCCCACTTCTCTGCTCTGGTCTCCATGGAGCAGAGAGACCAGCAGAGAGAGCAAGGTAAGCAACAAAAGAACACTCACATGACAGCATTCCCCCTTTGTCCACAGCTGGGTTTTCACAGGGTTACAATAAAATCACTTTTTACCAGTTCAACAATGTAGAAAATCATAAATAAAATACATTACATCTACACAGTTTTATCTTTCAGATTATTTACTATTGACAGTAATTGGGATGTAATATATTTCTTTTGTGGAAATAATGTACACATTTGAATAAAGGTAATTACATCTATTAACTTTTTCAGTGCACCTTGATAATGAGGGAAAAGGATATATATATATATATATACTGATACTGAAAAATTAATAACATATTATTATAGAGCCATTTTGTCTGGAAATTACATAAATGGTCTGTGGCTCTTACACAGTACTGTAGGTCATGTGTAGAAATATTCCGTTTTGAAAGTCCAGTATAAAAGGTATGAGGGTATGTGGCGCTGTAGCGTGGTGTAAACCAGGATTGTTGTCTGGACTGACCAGTCAGAGTAATGTACATAAATTAGAATAACAGGTATAGTACAAAGAGCAGTCTGACCGATGCCTTTTAGCATTACCAATCCTTGTGATGAAGTGCACTGTAACCAGATGATCAAGCTGTGGAGAATAATCTAGCAAGTCATAGGCAAGCACATTAAAGGCCTGAGGGTACTGAAGCCCTGCAGGGAGGAACATGTGGGATGGGAACAGAGCGAGTGCAGCTTCAGCTCATTCAAATTAGAGAGCACATTTCGGGAACAGAGAACAAGATCAAGTCCTGTGTCATCCCCAATGAATAATGCGGACCTGAGCTCTAATTACCTGCAATCAATTATTAATGAGACAGTCCTTCAGACCTCAGTCAACATAGAGTGGCCATCAGCCTGAGAGAGAGAGAGAGAGAGAGAGAGAGAGAGGAGAGAGGAGAGAGGAGGGAGGAGAGAGGGAAAAATAGAAGAGAGAGGAGAGGGGGGAGAAGGAGAAAGAGAGAGACAGATAAGGACAAGAAGAGAGAGAAAGAGAACGAGAGAGAAAAAGAGAAACAGAAGACCAAGGAGACAGAGAGAGGTGGGGAGGAGAGAGAGAGAGATGCAGAAAAAGAGAGAGGGGCCGAAAGGGAGAATGAGAGAGAGGAAGAGAGAGAGAGATGGAGAGATTTTTCTCTTTTCCTGCAGCAGTTAAATAGCTCTAAGTCCCTGAAGGGGTCTGTGTTCTTGCTGACCGACTGGCTGTTTAGATCATTACTAAATCTCTCTATGATTTTTTTTACTACAGTTAAATGGGCCTCAAAAACAATGGCACATTACAGGAGTCATGTGGTTGTAATCCACTGGCACTCAAGTGATAAGCCGTAATCACCTCGTTTATGTAATATATTAGGTTGCATAACATCCCCGGTTGCACTCGCAACTTCATTATGATAAGCAAAGAACTCTCTACCAGTTTCTTCACATGGCTTAAAAGAGTTCCTGTTTGGTCTTCACATTCCCCAGCAAAAGCAAAAATCAGAGCCAGAAAATGAAAAGAAAATGAAAAATGTCATTCCAAGCCAACACACAAACCAGTTCTAAAGGAACAGTTCATTTCTTAATTACATGTGTGCATGCATACAATTATGAAAATATAATATTACAAGCTGTACTAAAACTAGAGCCTATATTATACATAATGTTAAAAACATATTTTTTCACATTGGATGAAGGACATTGGACTATAAAGACACCCCCATTCACATAAGGGATTTCAATATAGTATCGTAAAATAGGATTTGTTTAAAAATGAAAACTGTATCGATTATGCATCCCCAAATCTCAAGGCTGTCTTATTTAGCATTGTTTGTTGAATGCAATGTTTAACTGTGTGCATCCTATCAGAGTAAAGCAGGTGGGGTGGAGTTTATGTTATACACACCCACAACAATGACTTGGCTCTATTCATGAAGTCGTATATAAATTCTAGAGGTTGTGATTTTTAGGCTTATTTTGTTAGGGGGCTGACACAGCAGACATCGAAAATCACATTGAACCTGAAAGTATGTGTATCGTTACACCCCCATTCTTCACATAGGACAGTTTGCTAAAGAAAAGGTACTGAGCACATTTTTTTGCAGTGACGTGTAGAATAACCTTCCCTCAACAGAAGACCCTGATGTTTCATTTATACAGACTAGTCAGAATTGCATCTTTCTCTCTCTGTCTTTCTCTCCGTCTCTCTCTCTCTGTGACTCCTCCTCTTGGCATGCAGACAAAGACTGTCTCATTGCGCATGTATTCTCCGGATGAGCGGTGTAGTGCAGAGACAGCGCAGCATTAACGCAGCCAGGACATGTGCTAGACACACACACGCACATCTCCCTCTTGGCACAGAGAAATTGCAAACATTGCCCGGGGCACATCAGCTTTGAAGAGACATTTCTTCACACTGCACATCACAGCTTATTGGCCCAAGTTGAAACACCCATGTTTGTTTTTAATCAGTAAATATGTAAAGTATGCTGTATGTATACAGTACTGTGCAAAAGCCAGAGATCACTCTTCATTTATTTGATTACCAGTCGAAACAGCGAAGTAAAAGTCGTTCATTTTCAGATCATATTTCTGATGAGATTAGATGTAATCCAGGGGACAATCAAAGGAAACTAAGTGAAAAACTGGAGTTCAAAAATTATTAAAAGATACAGTATACAAATGTGCAAGACCTCATAGACCACCGAAACTGTCCCTTTCAGACAAACAGTACGTAAAATAAAGCGTTCATCTTTGAGAGAAATGAGAAGATCAAGCTGCTTCAGATCTGAAAAAATCCACAGGTGTTTCTGTCCATCCTTCCACTGTGAGAGTACAACTCTGAAAGGATGTGTAGCTGAGAAGCCAAAAAGAAACAGACAAAAAAGATTTGCAAATCAAATAAAGAAGCTGCTGGTGCTCTCAGAATAATGGACTGACCACCCCAGAGTCCAGACCTCAGCAACAATGAATGTGTTTGGGATTACTTGGATTGTAAGAAGCAGAATATAAACTTTGGAAGTGTGGAAAAATATGCCACACTGTGTGTGTGTGTGTGTGTGTGTGTGTGTGTGTGTGTGTGTGTGTGTGTGTGTGTGTGTGTGCACCAAATGCTTTGGATGCTGTGGAACTGCACATAGTTCAGTAAAATGTCTGGGATATGGTAATTATAGCAACATGCTATTAGCCACAATAGAGAGGCTTTATCTCTGAGCAGTTAGTTATATACATATACAATGTTGCCCTTCTATCAAATAAAAGTCTTATAAACATTATAAGCATTAACAATGTAGGTTTATAAAAACAGTAATGTCTGATGCTACATACTTGGTTGAGGTTGAGGTTGTACGGACCACTGGTATGTATGTTTACGTGTGTCTTTAAATGCTTCGAATCCAGGGGAAATAGACATAGGCACTGTTGCCTAGTGCTTTTATAAATATTTGACCTGTCTATGTCCCAGGTGCCTTTTTTCTTGGAAACCAGTTCATTCTGTTCAGTAAACGTCCAGTAGATGGCACTGCCTCACTCACTGTGCTTCACTGCTCACTCGTGTGCCCTGAGAGACCTGGTGCCCCTGTAAGCTGTACGGTGAGTTTGAAGCAGCGGGGTGCTGACAGATTAGAGGCCTTCACTGTACTCCAGCATGCTGGAGTTGCTCCAGGATGGAGAGGTAGCCCTCCTCCTCCACAGCAACCTTGCAGCTCCAGTCTTCTGGACCAGTGCCATCTCACAGCACCGTGTTATTATTGCACCTATTTACAGATGTGTGTGCTTCTGCGCCTGTGAGAAACTGATACCCCAGAGAGGAGGGAATCGAGAATGAGTAAGGGAGGAGAAAGAGTGACAGATTGACAAGGCAAGGCAAAGAATGTATGTGTGTCAGTGTCAGTATTTTTATTTTTTTTGCTTTTTTTGAAGAGAACCCTTCATTCTCTTGGCTGAATGAGGTCATCTGTTGCTGTGCGACTGAAGAGACAGAGCCATGAGGCCCCACACTCGTACTCACCACGCCCTCGAGCACTCACACACAACCTGGGCTTCTCCCTCTGACTCATTTTTTCTGTGTTTTTTCCTATTTTTCTCTCCCTGTCTCTTTCTCTCCCCTTTTCATTCCCTCTCTCAGAACCACATTTAGTCTCAAACAGAGTCTTTTCATAGTGCGCTAGCCATTTTTAGTGCATGCAGTGTGCTCACAGTGGGAGATGAAACAGGATGACTGGCCCAGGCTCCCAAATATATAATTTATAATTAGTGTGTGTATATTCATGTATACTGTTAATACCCGAAAAATGAGGTGTGGAAATGAAGTGTGTGCACACTGTTTGCACTCAGCGGTCACACATGCTGCCATTCGTAGTGGATGGGCAGGAACCGTCAGAGGCTTTCAAAGTTGAAATCTACAAAATGGCTGACAGACCTAGTGAGACTGTCCATTCAAACTGGGAGCTAGAAGTTCAGGGCAAAAATTGGCAATTGTTTCTTTGAAGGCTATTCAAGCGCTATTCAGCTACTGCAAATTAATTACCCATTTCCAATTAGTGCAAAATATTAGTGTTTAACCTTAGAGTGCCACGCTCTGTGCCCAGCTCGAGACGCAGAATCAAATTTTACAATCAAAAATTGAGGTATCCTCACTGCTTTTGTTCTTCAGTGACAGTTTGGTTTTAGGGGAGGTTAATAAAATTACATGAAAAATAAAGGTTTGTTAAAACTCATGCTCAGTTTTTTGAAAATCAGTGAAAATTGGGGGATTAAAAGCGTATGCTTGTTCCGCTCTGGTGGGGGTGCAGGTGCTTCAAGCTTCATTTACTCTACTATTCAGGCACCTATGGTGTTAAAATACAGGGCATTTGCCATTGCTAATTAGAGCAGGTCAGTTAGCTAACCAGTCAGTACAGTGGCCTGCTCTACCCTTGGCTCTCCCCTCCATGGATGCTGCCCTCATGGCTTCAGCCTGGACTGATTCTTTCTCTGCCCATGGACCCCCACCACCACCCCTTCCCATTCC